GGCGATTTTCTACAACCATGCGAGCACCACCTCATTCAGCACGCATACTAGTCATGCCAACGAGCTGCACCGTTTGGCTTTGCGTACCTCCTCCCGTCGATTCGCCAGCAAAGAAAACCAGCGCAGAGAGAGTACACCGAGCTTCTGCCACGCATAGACCACACAACGCAACGTGTCTTCGCCGTCACTGGTTGCCCAGGCTTAGGCAAGTCGTTCGTTGCAGAAACTTTGAGTTCACACGTGGCTCGAACTGTCTCTCGACTTGCTCGTGACAGATTCACCTCAGGGGCGCTGGAGCCAATGATGTTGGATGGGGTGAAGATTAAGGAGCAAATGATTGAGGAGGTCAGAGTCTTCCATACCCGCCATCAAGGTTCCAACGTTCCACGGCCCCTCGAAGAAGAGCGCGAAATCAAGACAGAAATTGGCGAAGGGATGGCCGACGTGGACGACCAAATTTATGGGCAACATGTCTCTGTGGACTCCAACGGTAATAATCCACTTCCATCTTCAAGTCATTTGTCTAACTTTGATCCAGATCCTCCCAAGTTCCTCTTCGATGATCCCGATGTCCCATCCAAAGGCCCTGCCGAGAACACCACTGCCGGAGGCACCTGAGACGCTTTCCCTCTCCGTGCTGAGGGACTTTCGAGTCGGAAAAGTCAACCTTCTGATTACCACGAACGTCCTCGAAGAAGGCATTGACGTGCCTGACTGCAACATCGTCATATATTCCGCCTCATGTTCGTCAAGCTGAGAGCATTCGGTCGGACTAGAAAAGCAAGAAGAATGCCACCAAGGATGCAGCTTTCTAAGCATATGCGGCTCTGTACCGCGAAGGACTCGTCGACGAGACCTGCTACCATTCGAGCCACTGGCAGAGCAATTACTGGGGCTAGAATCCAGAAAGCCGATGGCTTATATCGAACCTCCTTTCAAGCCTTGGCAGAACATTGCGAGAGCTTGGCAGTCGACAGACGACAGATAGGCATACACATTCACCTGATACAATGAGCATGGTGACGTTACAGGCACATACGATATTATTCTCCCTACCCGTATCGACTAACCTCGCACAATGGTCGTCCATAAGAGTCACGGTGTTGTCTGGGACATGCTTTGATCCCATTGGGTCGCTCAAATCTTTTGTACAGCGCCGTGGACGCGCGCGGATGCACAGCTCCAAAATCGTTGTCGTCGACCACCAAGTCTGATACCGCTACGGGAGGTTGTCAATCGTGACCGGGGCAACAGACATCTGGATATTGCTGAGCAGCGACGACTGATTCTCGCACAAGCCAGTCAGCTCCGCACCAACCACGAGTGCACCCACCGAGCTTGGACTTCCAGGCGTGGCGAGTTTCATTGCGAGACCTTGCCATGATACCTTGGACCAGTTCATCTACGAGTGTAGGCAGTGTCGGCAGTCGCACAAGCCAATGCGCTCCGGGCGAACCACGAGTGCACCCACCGAGCTTGGACTTCCAGGCGTGGCGAGTTCCATTGCGAGACCTTGCCATGATACCTTGGACCAGTTCATCTACGAGTGCGGGCAGCGTCGGCAGTGTCGAATCGTGGCGTGGAACGGGAGGAAGAACTCTACGAATGTCGGCGGTGTCGGCAGGGTCGAATCATGGCGTGAAACGGGAGGAAGAACTCTACGAGTGTCGGCGGTGTCGAATCATGTTGTGAAACTGCATATCAGATGGAGAGAAGGACATTGAGTATTCGCACCTTGAGCAGTACGGCTTTGCCTTGGGTCCTCTGCAAGTTGTCCAGGGGCCAGGATTCATAGAATCAGTCCCCAGACTTCCCACAATCTGGGCAATACGGATACCACCTGAACAGTGAACACCATTTCCCGCGACTCTATCGCACTCCATGCCGTGACTGACAACTCTTTTGTTGGAGCAAGCGAACATTGGTACCTTAGGTTTCACCAGTTATCCAACTCGAGGCGTCCCCGCCCCCTGGGGACTGGGTACCAGTACGTAGTCATACTGGTATCCGGTTGCAGCCTGTATTGATTAATCACAAGTAGTACGGACAGAAACTATCCTAATACTTGGCAAGCCTTGCCCGTGAACATAACTCTGACAGTAGCCCCGCTGGGCTAATGGAGAGCGTGTCGCCACGTCAGACGGTCAGACGGACTGGTTCGGGAAGACATGGAGCATTGAGTCAAGCTGTGAGCGCGCAGGGGTCAGTGATCGCTAACCTAAGGTACAGTTGGCTTGTCGCCTCGCTTTTTCTTCCCATCTGTATCCGTACGACGGAATGACTTGGCAACACCAATATGCCTCGACAGCGTCTCACCGTCATGCCTAAGAAGCTGTCCTCTTCATACAAACGGAAATTGCCAACAATCACATCCCAGTTCTCGAACCTTTTAGCCCACATCACGCACTCGCCAAACCGCCAAGCCTTACTCTCGCTGCCGCTTTCCGCTATGGCCGTCCCCCAAGGGCCCCAACCAAGAAATTGTAATGTCAGGCTTCTCGCGTGCCTCATCGACGAGGATGACACGGACAACAGCGACTATCGCTTCCTTCTCGAGGAGCAACACGTCAATATGTGACCACGGCACCAGGAACGTTTTGCGGGGACGAGGATAACCGCACCTTCGAGCCCATCCTGCTCAGCAAGCTTACCCCACCCTTTCCCACTGGAGAGATGAGCGCCCTCAAGGACAGCCTGGAGGACAACAGCTTCCGGGGCGTAGTAAAAGTCAATGAGTGATCGACCGGTGAAGTAGCGGGTTCATGTTGCAGCCTTGTATTGATCCTGGAAACTTATACTGATTATACCCGCAACAGCGATGCCTGGATCGCCTTGTCGATTGTGTGGCGCGGGTAGGCAGGCCCGAAATCCATGCAGATAGCTGTCGAAGCCAAGATTGTGGCCAAGCGCGATGAATCCATCTGCGTGCTGTCGAAACAAGCCCCAATCTCTTCCAGCAGTGCTGCAACCTCCATCGCCGTGAGCATGCCGCGACTGTCGGGCCTTCCACCCGTCTGATGCCGATAAGAAGTGGCCGCATGTTGTTGCGCGTTGCCAAACGGCGAGACCTTCCAGTTGATGCCAGCCGGACGCAGAATCTCGGCCCGCGCAGGCCCCAGTACACGCTGGATACGTCGCAGGAGATCCTCTCGCGTGCAACGGCGGAGCGTGGCACCGAATATGTACTCCATTTTCCTTGGAGATGCTTGAATTTGGCCGGTGAGGAGGAGACAGGCGCGAGCCATGGTCACCTCGACCAGCCGGACGGCAAATGGCTCCTCGTCCTCCGAGGCTGATGAGGACCAGTCTGTTGGCGGGGACAGATTCTGAATAAACGGAGCGATGAGGTCAAAAGGAATACCAGAGTCGGATACGTTATACTGGCTCCATTTGTGACTATGCAGCGTGGGTAGCCAGCTCGGATCGGCATCGAGAGGTGTCTCATAGTCGTTGGGGGTTATTGGGCTGACGGTGGGTTTGACATCAGAGATGCTTGTCACTTCCACCGTTGGAGACAATACTTTGTCTTTCTCACTTGGATCCTGCACAGTCGCTGGCGGCTCATCTGCATCCATCACAGACTTGGATAGGCTGACAGCCTGTCTGATTGACTGCTCGAGTCGCGCGACCAGGCTGGCCTGCGCCACGACCTGGTCGACCTGGTCGACCCCCAGCAAGTCGTCGCAGATAGTGACAATGATGCCGCTGAGCTGGTCTACCGCTTCCTCCAATTGGTATATCCTGTCTTGCTGTGCTTTCTCGGTACGCTGCCGGCGTTGACGACACTCAATCTGCGCTTGACGATTCCGTTCACGGCGGGCCTGTCAGGGACTCAGTTGGCCAACTGTGGCAGCGCGGAGAGTGATCGATGGACAGGGCAGCTCTCACCTTTGCAATTGGATCCTCAGATTGGCGGCGCTGTATTTTGCGACCCATTCTCGGGTCGACCCTCGGTCAATCAGGCCAGCGAATGGCCTAAAACCACAGCACAACTCGGGACTCTGAATCACGAAGCCTCGGTCAGTTCTCAGCACGTACAGCTCTTCACTGAGTATGGTCGCTCGGGTTGTGACACTCTTTCCGACCTATGACACACGAATCCCGCTGGCGCAAGTCGGCCGCGGCATTGGTTGCATGTAGTCAGGCTTTGTACGCGTACGTAGATGAGCAAGGAGAGGGTGGTGAGTGGTATGTGATGATGTGAGGGGACGGACCATGGAGTCGGGGTTGTGACAAATCGCCCCGAGATGACTGTCATTCCCGTCCCTCGCAACAAGCGGGTGCGAAGGGGCCTGTCTGGTCATGTGCCGCCCAAAACCAACATGACAAATGAAGAATGGCTGAAATTATATAGGTTCAAGATGGTTCCCCGAAAGCTAGGCTATTCGAGCACATGCAGCGCCTGCTCACCGAGTCACCATGGACAGCCAGGAGTTGGGAATAGGCGCAACGCAGCACGATGGACCCCAGCATGAAGGGCAGCAACAACTCCAGAATGATGAGGATGCCTGGACTATGAATCCAGCCAATCCATGGAATTGGTCCACCGGAAAGAAGGCTGTTCACATGGTGATGTTGTCGTGCAGTGCTCTACTTGCGTAGGTGATCCCAGCTGGGTCGAGTCAATCTCAACCAACCGCTGATGGCCCGTCAAACAGCTCCATCGGAACCTCTGTCATGAGTCCTGCACGCTCGCAAATCATGGAAGAATTCCACGTCTCGAGTCCAGTCGCCCTCCTGCCGCTCTCGCTCTACGTCCTCGCCCTTGGTCTCGGCTCCATCGTTGGCAGCCCACTGTCAGAGACTGTAGGGCGACACCCCGTGTACCTTGGTACTGTCCCGCTGGGCGCCGTCTTCACGCTGGGCGCCGGCTTCACTCACAACTTTGGCGCGCTGTGCTTTCTGAGGTTCATGGCAGGCTTCTGCTGGGCGCCCGTGCTGGCCACGGCTGCGGGCTCCCTGTCGGACCTCTTTGCGCCGAGAGCTCGCGGTCCACCGTCTGCGATTTTCATTCTCATGCCCTTTCTGGGCCCTGGCTTGGGGTATGCTTTTCATGCAGTTGCAATCCATACAGGCGCTAACATCTGTAGCCCCGTCATAGGCTCGTTTCTCGTCGTCGAGAAGAGCTGGCGTTGGACGCAATGGACGTTGCTCTTCCTGGCAGCCGCCTGCATCATCGTCACGGCCTTTACAAAGGAAACCATGCACCATCTCATCCAAGAGCGAGCGGCTGGAAAGGCAAACAAGCACGAAGGCGCCGCCACGACGTCGGTCTCGCGCCCCAAGTTGAGCGAATTCGTGACCATTGCGCTGGTACGACCGGTGCACATGCTCGTATCCGAGCCCATTGTCGCCATGATCGCCTTGTACGTGTCAGCCGAGTTTGGGACACTTTTTAGCTTCTTTGCCGGTGTTCCGTATACGTTCGCACGTGTATATGGCTTTCCACTGCATCACTCTGGCCTCGTCTTCCTGTCCATCGTCATTGGCTGCCTTCTTGGTCTCGTCACCATCATTCTCTGCGACACGCTGCTGTACAGGAAGAAGGCCCAGACATATGCGTCGCACGAGGTGCCCCCTGAGCTTCGCTTGTTCCCTGCGATGCTCGGAAGCGTGGGACTGCCGGTGGGACTGTTCTGGTTCGCCTGGACGGCCAAGGCGGATGTGTCCTGGGCCAGTCCGGCCGCCGCCATGATCCCGTTTGCATGGGGCAATCTGTGCGTGTTTGTGGCCACGATTCAGTACATGTCGGACACGTATCCGGGGAGAATAGTCGCAAGCGCTGCCAGTGCCAATACGCTGGCTCGGTACGGCTTTGCAGCGGTGTTTCCCCTGTTCACAATACAGAGTAGGTACTTGCCTTCTTTGCAGTGATCGATATTGAAGACTGACATGTGGAACAGTGTATGAGACTCTGGGGATCGCTTGGGCCACGAGCTTGTTGGGGTTCGTGGCGCTGGCACTGATGCCGATTCCCTGGTGCTTTTATAGGTTCGGGCCGACTATACGTGCTCGCAGTAGGTATACTTGACTGCCTAGCTTCCTAGATATCAACATGACTGCCATTGTCAATGTAGACGCCGATATCGACGAGAACGAAATCGCGATATGCATCATGTTCATGAAACTGATGCATGGTACATGTGTTTTAGGCTAAACGGTTCTCGGTACGCATTTCTTCCATTCAACCGACAAACCCCAGTTACGTAGTTGCGCGTTGACGGTTAAACAAAACAGAAAGCAGATCACTTAAGCCTAACACGGCATTGGTCTTAGGCGAGCATTTAGGCATTAGCCATCCTCAGTCGGGACTGGTGGCCTGTTCGCGCATGGCCTCTTCATGCCGGACCCTTTGCCCTGCCAATCTGCCGGTCCAGAAAGCGCGGAGACGCTCCCCCCGCGTTCGAAAGAACCGGAAGCAACAGTGAATGGATATGAAGTGCCGATGTCAATGGCGGGGATGAAGTTGATATTCCAAGTCTGCCCCTTGCCTGTGTCGCATAAATCAGCCGAAGTCCTCCACATACAGAGTTGAGGTCTGCTGTCTGTCACGCAGCCAACTTGTGCTACCGCCGATCTCTTGGGTTTCTTTATTCAAGATGCGGTTTTCCATAGTCTCTTCCCTGCTACTATGCAGTCAATCGTTGGCTGCCGTGGTCTCACGTCCACGTGCGTGTGCAAACCACTGGGTCCTTAGTTGGACGTCCATGCAGCAGGTTGTCGAGCCATACAATCTCCCTCCTCCGCCATTTGTAAGGTCAATCCAACGTCCATCAGCGAGGACATGATGCTCACATGTGGCAGAATGAAAGCGACGGGCAGTTTATCAACTCCACAATTCGCCAAACCTTCCAGGTATCACTTGATGCTGAGCGAATCCGCATCCAGCTGTCCAATGTCCTTGGCGAGAGTCCTCTGCCCATTACCGAGGCTGCTATCGCGTTTCCTGAGAACGGGCTGGCCGGAGTTGGGGAGATTGACCCCAAGACTTCGTGCGGGCTGACGTTTGCTGGTCAAAGTTCTGTGACGATTCCACCCGGGGAGGAGGTCTATTCGGATCCCATTGACTTCAGCGTCGATGCGGAAACCATCGTTGCCCTCACTCTTTACCTCGAAAAAGGCCAGAGTGGTAGCATTATCACAGGTCATCCTGGCAGCCGCACAACGTCGTGGATGCAACGGGGAAGCGGTACCAATGCCACCTCTATCAGCGAGGCAGAGACGAACCATTGGTACTTTGCAAGTGCTATTGAGGCTTGGAAACCCCGGACCACATCATCCCTCATCGTTCTTGGTGACAGCATAACGGATGGTCGGGGTAGTACTGACAATGAAAACAACAGGTAATAGGAAATGAGCCTTGCTGCAAAGAAATTGGCTAACAGATACGCCACAGATGGCCGAATCTCCTTTTGGCTCGGCTGCGCGACGAAGGGATCGAAAACATTGCCGTCAACAACAAAGCTGCTGGAGGGAATGCTGTGCTCTCTGGCGGGCTGGGTCCACCATTGATCACTCGATATGAACGAGATGCTCTGGAGCAAAAGGGCACAAAATATGTCATGATTTTCGAAGGCGTCAACGACATTGGCCCAAGCCAGACCGACGCTGCTACGCAGGAGACACTGTACGAAGACCTCATTGAGGCCTACAAGAAGATTGTCAGCGACGTCAAGGCCGCAGGCTATACCACGATTGGCGCGACAATCACCCAATTCCGCGGGAACGGGTACTACGACCCGGCCCGCGAGGTGACGCGCAACAAGGTCAATGCTTGGATCCTGACAAGTGGCGTATTTGACCATGTGGTGGACTTTGCCGCGTGGATTGGCGACGGGGATACTCTGATACCAGAGTATGACTCGGGCGATGGGCTGCATCCAAACGTGGCTGGATACACCAAGCTCGCCAGCGACTTTCCTCTGGATATATTTCAATGATGGTGGTCTCTGGTTCACGATGGGTGAGCCAAAGCCATAGCCAGACGATAGAAATCTGCCTTGAGACAAGAGCCAATGTCACGTAGTGAAAGCTGAAGATCAGACACAGAGGACTCTAAGGCAGTTCAAACCATGTTGTCCTAGCCGAAGTGAAGTGTTCACGAAAAATGGACGCTTATAGTATACCCTGTCGGAGAAAGTCCGGCTCGGGGCCCGACGAAGACCCCACGCGTACCCACGCAAGAATGCGGCCGGAGGGGCATCAGCCACATCCACATGCGCATTCGTGATTTGAGTCCTTCATCCAACAGGCACGCGATCGACATTCATCTCCAACAACCACCATCTACTCGACAGTGGAATACCACACACACACACAGTATCCCTTAGACCGAGGGAGATTATCACGCGCGCAACAGTCGCCGTCGGATCGCGCGCGACATGTTGTGAAGGACATCATCTCCAGGACACTGACGTCGAGCATGCGCGGGCTGGTGCTGCGACTGTCCAACACACACACACACACACACACACACGCTCTCCACCATGAGCGACCTTGACAAGTGAGATAGACGCTCTTGTCGTACGGTCATGCGCACTGACTGACCTGGATGCTTCACAGGGCGATTGCGCAGCTGCGCTCATGCCGACCGATCCCCGAGTCGCAGGTTCGCGAAATATGCCACAAGGCACGAGAACTCCTCATCGAAGAGGGCAACGTCGTGACGGTGACGGCACCCGTGACGGTACGCATTGGCGGCAGCGACGGACATGGAGACGTTGGGAGCTGATGGGACGTAGATATGCGGCGATATTCACGGCCAGTTCCACGATCTCATGGAGCTCTTTCGCGTTGGGGGCGACGTCCCCGACACAAACTACCTTTTCATGGGTTCGTCTCGTCCGCCCGCGGCTTCTACCCCCACGAGGCTAACCAGACGGCAGGCGACTTTGTCGACCGTGGATTCTATTCTCTCGAAACCTTTCTCCTCCTCCTCTGCCTCAAAGTTCGATACCCCGACCGCATGACCCTGATCCGCGGCAACCACGAATCACGACAGATTACACAAGTATACGGCTTCTACGACGAGTGCAACCGCAAGTACGGCAGCGCCAATGTGTGGCGGTACTGCTGCGACGTCTTTGACTACCTCGCGCTGGGGGCCATTGTCCTCGGCGCATCGAGCACCCTGTCGTCGACCATGGAGCCGATCGACGAGGATGTCGAGATTGAGGTGTGCGACCAGAGCGGCGGCACGCTCAGCCGTTTCTCGCGCCAGAGGCATCGGCAACGACCGGACAGCTCGTCGAGCGCCAACGGGGTCCCCGCAGACAGGACGGGACCACCAGGCTCCGGTGCGTCCGGGTCAAGCGGAGGCACCGTCGGCAACCCGACGGGCGCGGTCCTGTGCGTCCACGGTGGACTGAGCCCGTTGATCGACACGATCGATAAGATCAGATTGATTGATCGAAAGCAAGAAGTCCCCCACGAGGGCGCCATGTGTGATCTACTGTGGTCCGACCCGGACGAGATTGACGGCTGGGGCCTCTCGCCGCGCGGAGCTGGGTTCCTGTTTGGAGCGGATATTGTCAAGGTCTTCAACCACACGAACGACTTGAGCTTGATTGCGCGCGCACACCAGCTGGTCATGGAGGGTTTCAAGGAGATGTTCGACGCGTCCATTGTCACGGTGTGGTCCGCGCCCAACTACTGCTACCGATGCGGCAACGTGGCGGCCGTGCTGGAGCTGTCCGAGGACGACACGGGCACCGGCATCTTCTCGCGGAGCAACGGGGACGTCGGCCGGAGTAAGCCGCCTATGCTGGAGAATGGCGGCCTGGGCAATGGGCCGGCCAGGCGGTACAGGGTCTTCCAGGCGGCGCCGCAGGACTCGCGGGGCATGCCGGCCAAGAAGCCGGTGGCAGACTACTTCTTGTGAGCGTGGAGGATGGATCACGGTGTGTGCACGATAGACAGGCACACATGCACAGACGACAAAGCTCGCCATTCGGAAGTATGGAGTTGGTATTGAAATCAAATATAAATGTTCTTCTGGTAGCCCCGAGCGGCACTTCTACACTGAGAAGCATCATGCTCGTACATTTATTTTCCTGGCAAGCCTCTAAAGGGGAAGACCAATCAACCAAAACGCCTCGATCCGCGCAAACGACAGACATGCAATGATACGACCACAGCTCCCAAATCGACCCCGAATACGCATCCTCGATATCACTCCTCAGGCTCACCTACGATCCACTCGTCAGCCCACCAGCTTCTGCGTCCATGGCCTCGGAGCTTACTCACGCTTTGCCTCCTCGGTGTCCTCCTCGTCGTCTCTGTCCCCAGGTCGTCGTGACGACCTAATTTGGCCGAGGATCGCGTCGATACCAAGCAGCGGAGACGATGGTGGGGCAGGCCTGGCCCGCGGCGGTTGCTGCAGTGCGGGAAGACGGCCGCTGTTCAAGTGCCGCATGGGACGAGGAAACATGAACGTGCCCTGCTCCGCAGCGTCGAGAGTCTCTTCCACCGCAGCGAGGCGCGCCCGCTGCTCCTCGGTCTGCTCGGGTGTCGGGGCCGAACCAGACGCCTGGTGGCGGTTGCGCGGTCCAACGGAATTAGCGCCGGTGTAGGGGGTCTGCTCTTCGTCGTCCTCGTCACTTTCGGTGTTGCTGTTCGTAGTGCTACCGTCGTCATCGCCGTTGGTCATTACAGTACCGCCTGGGCTCCTGGTCGCCTCTCGCCTCGACAAGGTCCTACGTGGCGCTCTACTCCTACGTCTACGACCTGTAGCCGAGGCATGGCGGCTGCTGCTGCTGCTGGGGTTATCGGCCTGGGCTGGGTTGGCAGGCGTTGGTGTCGGGCCGCGAGACTGGCCAACCCACCAGTCCGGCCCAGCAGAGACGCGCGGAGGCGTCGCCGTGAAGAGCGAGCCAAACGTCATATCCGGGTCCGCTTGCGGCGTCTGAGTGGTGCCATGGCCTGCTCGCGAGGAGGTCGAGCGCGCCATCGGGGTCGGCGTGTTGTCCACCCCCTGCGATGCCCTAGAGGAGCTGGCAAGGCTGTGATGGAAGGGGGACTGGCTTGGTGGATTATAACGTTCAGTGCGCGTTCCACGGGCCGACCTTTCGAGAGTCTCGCGGCGAAGGTTGGGCTGTGGCCTGCCACGCATGCTACCGCGGAAGCCGCTGCTTCTCTGACTCCCCGAACTTGAGGCGGATCCAAGCACATCCGCTGTCGGGGTCTCTGCGCTTGGAGGCGAGGATGGGCCGTTGGCTGGCGTGTCTGGTATCGGGTCAGGGGACGAGAGCACCATTGTGCTGTTGTTACCGAGTCTCGGCGTGGCTGGGTCAAAGGAAGGCAGACCGAACGACGAGCTGTTCCCCGCGTGCCCGCCGGAGAAGGGCGTACGGCCCTGGCTGGATGGCGGCACGCGCGCGGCCGCGCCAGCAGAGCCAGCCGGTGTGCGCCATGCGGGCAGCGAGTTCTGCGCGCGTTGGGACGACGGCTCTGGGGAATCTCGCAGTGTTTGAGCGAGCGGGATGGTCAAGGGCGAGGTGGGCCGGGCTCCTCCTTGGTTCGCCTGTGCGGAACCAGTCGCGAGAGCGAGCGCGGCAGAGCTCTGCGCAGGCGCGCGGTGGGTGGATGGCGCGGCGCGGTTAGGGGTCTGCCAAAGCTGGGGAGCTGGCTGGAGTTGAGGAGCTGGCTGAAGCTCGGGCGCTGGCTCATGATGGGGAGGCGACCAACTCGGACTCCTTGGTGGTTGGTCCCTGGCCACCCGACTTGTCCTGTTTCGCCTCAAGGCGTTCCGCCTGGCGATACGAGTGCGTCTCTCTTGTTCCTGGCGGGCCCTCTCGGCCAGCAGCTGGGCGTGCTCGTCTGCGGTCGACCTCGTCTCGCGACGGGTCCTCCTGCTGCCGTCGATGATGACGCTGTGCTCGTCAAGCCAGCCACGGGCGCGCAGGTCGTCTGCTGTCGTGGCACTGCCGCTGGCACCCGAGCTGGTGGCGGTACGAGCCCTCTTCGCCGTGCTGCCGCCTGTGGCAGTGGATGATGCCTTGCGCTTCTTGGGCTGGTCTCACGTCAGTTATCAGTGTACATGGGCACAGGGGGGACGGGGGTCTTACAGGCATGGTCTTGGAATTGGAAAAGCTGGTGGACTTGGTAGTCTGGTGATCGACGACGAGGCGAGGGAGAATGAAGATATTCAATTTGTCGCTAAGGGGACTTGGGACCGTTGCTTGTTGTGTTACTGGAATCAGTGGGAGGCGGCGGCTTGCTGTTTGTTATTTATGCTTGTCCCAGCGGTGCAAGCGATTGACAACAGTTTGTTCGTCGACAATGAGCAAGACCGTCTCTGCCAGTGCTTGTCATTGTTCCTCGGGTCTTTATTCAGAGAGCTGCCGTCGGTGCGTCACAAAGAGGCAGAGCCTTTGTCACGGCCTACATCCACCAGGACTCCTCCGATGCGGCTGTTCGACAAAGTATTCTTATTACCTATATGTATTAGGGACCAAGTCCTATGAAGACAAGCGAGGCCAATGTGTCCATCACATATACCATGCATGTGTGAACAATCTCCGAACCTCGAACACCGAATAACTTTGAGCAGCCTCCTTTGTCAAGGCGCGTTTGCACATGGGGAAATCTTACAAGAGACGACCCCTTTAACGCCCCGAGACCTCGACGCTGCCAACGTCGTCGACCTGGACCGCCGTCCGTGCCAAACTCCCACAAAGACAAGACAACCCCCCAAACGCCGCACGCGCCTGGCTCCTTTTAATGCCCATTGTGTCCAAATCACCCATTCCCGCCATTAATCATTGCATCATGATGGCCCAGAGGTTGTTCACGACACCTGACCGGACCCACTGAGCCATCGCCTCATACACGTCGTCTGCGAAAAGGAATTTCCTCATTCGACTCCTGCGCGCTGCTGGAAGCGGTGATTAAGGTTGGAGCGATCCTGCCGTTGACCAGCCGTGTTTATCTCGAGTCGACTTGTCGCACGTAACCTCGTAACATCGTCATCTCCCGTGTCGCTGTTGACTCAGCTTCACGCATAGCTTCTCGTTGCTTCTTGACTACCGTACTCCCTCGATAAAGTCGATAGCGCTGGTGAGCAAAATCGAGCCGCCCATGGTTGAGTACATAACGCTCACAGGCTGCAATTATTGCTCGATATTGGCACCACTCCTGACAGGGATATTGCCTCGCCAAAACACACCAGCGCTAGCGACTTTGTCGAGTGAGTACGGTGTCTTTCCGCCATCGTCGTGAAGCACTTCCAAGTACGAGGACTTTTCACCATCAGTGTTTCCAATCTCATCATCAGTAGCCGCCGTAGTCGCGCTGACTGGGGTGAAAGGGCGCATGTGGATCACTGTAGGTCAACGACGACCCGGGGAGATGCTGCATCTGCTGCGCTGGGAATCCCTGTGGTTGCTGCTGCTGCTGCGGCTGCTGTGATGGTAGTTGTTGTCGCGGCGGCGGCGGCTGATGCTGCTGCGTCTCATAGACGTCCTGTCGAGGCGTCATCTCCGTCGAGTACACAGGCGTCCCGTACGTGGGTGCGCCAGGGGCCATCCCAACGCTCACATGATGCGTTCCATAGCCGGACGGCATGGCCTGGGGCGGCGTCGTTTCCCACAAAGAGGATGCGCTCGTGGAGGCACTCGCGATGGACGTCTCGCGGCTCGCCTGTTGTCCTGGCAGATGCGGCGCATTCGATTCCAAGGGCGTGGGTCGTCGCGGTGCCAGGAGATGCTGGAGCGACTGCACAGATGATCCAGCGGCACCCGCAGGGAGCTGGGCTGCCGCGAGAGGACTGAGGTCCGGGTGCGCGCCAAGCTGGCCGGGCGGTGGCTGCTGCTGCTGCAGGTAGTGCAGGATGTAGTCGTCGCCGACGCCCTGCTCGTGCAACAGGTCGCGGAGGAGCCTGTTCTCCACCGCGACGCGGCGGGCGGCCATCTGGACCTCTGCCGAGGCCTCAATGCCCTGGAGCTCGCATGTCCGGAGACGCTGCTCCAGTTCCTGGAGGTACTCCCTCTTGCGAGCGCGAGATCGTCTCTGGTTGTCCCGGATGCGCGCGAGATTGGCCCTTTGCTAGGAGGGGGAGTTAGATGGATGAAAATGTACTGGTCGCACCACGCAGAGTGTGTGGGAGGAAAGGGGGGATATCGGGATCGGGGGACACTTACCGCAGGTGTTGACATTTATTAGCATCAATGTGATTCGGCCGGATGCAAAGTCGATGACAGCTTCTTCAGAGCTCACCCGCCAGGCATGGATCCGTGTAGCGATGGGTATGGACTCCAAGAGACTCGCGGCAGCAGAATTGGATCTCTTCTCCTGTCCTTGCTCAACATCAACAGGATCTTGTACGCAACCTAGTCGATCTCGCCGAGATGGTTCAGGAGATTATGTATTCGGGCCGCGCAGTGTGCAAAATTAAGCATCAAGTGGTAGAGGGAGCTTGCGCAGAAAGAGGCCGCGAGAGAACAGGGTTCAAGAGGCGAGGACGTCTGGACAGGCGGCTCCGTTCGGTCAATCGGCCGGTCGGTCCCTTGATCTCTTTGTCGGGATGCCCACGCCTCTCTGGGTGTGAAGTACAGGGCTGATACGTGACTAGGTCGCGAGACTATTATAAAACCTCCTCCACAGGCGGCGGTCGCTCGCCGTCCTGGAAGCTATCTTTAGCGCGCAGCGTCTGGGAAAATCCCGTAGAAGGCTACTAGTTGATGGAATACTAGGCCTAGCGTGCGTTGATCGGTGTGCACTGCCTGCCCGCAGGGCATCCGATATGCACCGACCGAACGAGACAGGGACGTAGCAGATACCAAGCTTGTTCTGCCAAGCCCGAACAAGCTGTTGTATCCTGCTCCGATACGGAGTACGCACGTCGGCTGGCCAGTGATGAGCAATCACCAGCGCCGGGGGCGAGCCACGCTAATTAGGTCATGGAAGGATGGCTTGCGAATGCCAGCGTCCGGGAGGGTGTGCTATAGGAAGACTGAACCTTTGGTGTGGCGGTCCAACAAAACAAGCCTGCTGTGAATCTGCGATCAACCAAGTAATATGGAAAAGTGGTTTGAGCACAGACCTCCGTTCCGAGCTGCCAGTGCAGGCCACCGGGGCTCCTATGGGTCAGCAGAGTTCTGCACATGTCGATGGGACGTCAAGGAGACAGGGGACATGAGTCTTGCTGTTGGAGACTCATGTGTGCCGATCCACCATGATGGCTACTGAACGTGATTATGCGTCTCCGTATGTACGCAGTGCAACCTTGCGGCTCGCATGCAATTACTCCAAAGAGCTGATGGTTCAATGCTGCCTGATGGGTGGATGGATGTGTGCCGTTTGGTCCCCGATAGCGTGCGTAGATCATCCATCCTTGGGGGGCGGGAGACAGACCACAGCCATGGGCCAGTGACCGGTCTCGTGGGCCGTGGCTGTGAGACAAGATGGGTCGGGGGACTGGAGCTCCATGGGAATCCTGGAGCAGCTTGAGCATTGTCGAGTGGACAGACAGCAATTGTCGATGCTGCCAGACGCCGGCATCGTCAGGTCCACGGTCCACACCACGGTGGCACCGCCACGGCGCCACCACGAGGACAGGACCGGACCACGCAAGGCCTACTCGTCTAGGCAATCATGATCTCCAGCACGGCAGTCAGGTTGCCGCTGGCCGTGCGAGTTGCGGACGAGGCACGCCAGACAGGCAGGTTGCTCCGCTCGCGTGCGATCTACTAGTGAGTGACGTGACCTGCACTTGTTGGCGAGCCCAAGGACCAAGTGACCACTCGTCCCCCGCGGTCTTTCGCCGCCGCGGAAGCGGTCCAGGACTCCAGGGACCAGGGCTGAAGGTAAAGTCGATCATCCAAGGCCGGGCAGGCGCTAGTTCGGCCTGATGCGCAGCGCTAGTTCCATGACGGACAGATGCCAGCCGTGCCGCTTCCAGGGAACTGGATGGATGGATGGGGACTGGACTCGACGATCAACAACAACTGTGTGTGGCCCCAGCTCGCCTGGCGCCTGGCCATGGAAATGTCGTACTCGATGAAGACGTGAGAGGAGGACGAGACGGATTCATTTCGCTTTCTGCTTGATGATGATGATGATGATGATGACTTGGTGGACGACGTTGGTGCAAATGGCACGGATGGAAGAGGGCTGAAACTGACCATGTAGCCCAAAATTTGACGCCACACACGCCATACATGTTAATTAACGCGGTCCCCACCAGCTCTCGATAATGCGAAGCCTTCAATCCTTGAGGACCGGAACTAATAATAAAGCTAAGAAATAGGCAGCTCGCCGTCCTCTCCAACTACAAGTCAGTCCCAGCCGTCAAACCTGGTCACATTGACTCGGGCAGTGACCGAAGCTTAGTCTTTCTATTACTCACCGCATATGCTCATGGCTGCTGTTAGGCTGGTCGGTCTGTCGGTCACGGCCCGATCACGATGCCGTTTCCGAGTCTGGCCGGTGGACAATGGCATCAACTCAGCAATCTTGAATTCTTGTTAGCTTGCTTTATGTTAGTTTCCAGGTACTACGTATTGTCTGCCCCGTCGAGCAGCATGACGCAGGCTGTCTGCGGGTACCGGGTAGGTAGATTTAGAAGGGCACTTGTGCCTCAGGCCCTCACCTTTAGTCGAGGACTCCAGTCGAGCGTTTGAAGACGAATATTACCTGACAGTGTTACACCTACAAAGTCAGTCACTTACCAGCCGCCCGCGCCAAGGCTCTCCCTCGTGGCCTCCTTTTCGCGCGTCAAGCACTCCCGGTGCTGCTCGAGGACGTCCACTGCTTCGAGCAGTTCCACGGGGTTCAACAACAACTCACCTGTCTCAACAGCCCTCGTCCGCACGGCACGCAACCTACCCCGGGCAAGCGCCAGCTGCGCAGACACAGCGCGCAGCCGGGGCCCAAACTCGGCCAGCAGGACGCCATCGACGCACTCGCGACAATGATCCGGGATCCTGCCCCCGTCGGGGATCGTCCTGGGGAGCTTCGCTGACAGCATCCCCCGACGGGTGAGGTACCTCGCCGGGAGGCGATGCTTGCAGACGCCGTGGCGCAACACAAGTCGACAAAAGGGACAGGTGGCGGCGGCGGCGCCTGGGCCTTCCTCTTGCTGCTGCTGGTGCTGCTGCCAAACGCCCATGCATGGCGCACAGGCCACATGACCGCACGGCATGATGACAAAAGAGTCGTCCTGGTTGGGCGCGTCCGTGCTGTTCGCTGGGTCGAAGCGATGCTCGAAGCAGATCTGGCAAATTAGCGCAGGGGCGCGATCCGGGCCCGACAGGAACGTGCATCGCGGCTCAGGGACGAATGACTCGTGCAGCGTCGCGCGCCTGAGGCTAAGATACCTCCGAGTACGAAGCATCTCTCCCCCTGCAGCCTGGTCTTGCGGGGTGGACCGGGTGGTCGGGCTTGTGACTGGAGGTTGATGTTGCCGCGATCGCCTGCTGCGTAGATACTTGATGGGTGCAGGCGACGCTTCATGTTGCGGACGAGCACCAGTGTCTTCCATCTCTACGTTGAATGGGGGGAATGGTTTATTACGGATTTACTAACGAGCGTCAGAGAGAAAGAAGCTTCTACGTATTTTAATATTGATGGAACACATCAACCCGGTGAAGGCTATGGACAAGAGTGGACGCCGGAGAATGAGTGTCATTGTTCACCCGCACGGAACAAAGTCTGTACCGCCATGAGGGACTTGTTCGCGCGGCACATTCTATACTAACTGCGCTAGATCTCAAGTCGAACGCAATCCTTGTTGCGCGTTGTTCCGCAAGTGCTCTGCTCTGCACACCAGCCTCGACACATCTGGTGCAGGGTAGCCGCACCCAACATGACACCGCCTGTCGCCAAGACGCTCCCTTGACTCGAGATGCCAGCAGAAATGTCGACTGTGTGTCGACTGGCGTCCACTATCCAGACTATAGCTGGAGAAAATTCACTAGCCCGGATGAAAAATGTGTACGTACGTACTGCGTAGATCGAGCGCTCTCCCGGCATTGCCTCTTGGGCCGCCCACTGCCAGTCTCGACTGATAGTACGTAGCACAGTAATTAGTATAATAGCCGCCCACTGCCGATGGAATTGTTCTCGAGCCCGGGCCGGTCGATGGAGCCCTGGGCCCGATGTGGGCCACAGGAGCCGTCATGATACCTAGTTTACCTACTAGTACAGTATCTAGTTTCTTCTTCCGACTTGCTCCAGCAGGTTATCTTGGCTGGCACTGGTGTCCAGCTGTTGGAGCTCCGACCACGGCCGCCAACAGCTGCACTTGACCAAGTATTAGCGGGCTTCAGTGCCCTCAGCCATCGCAAGAAACGCCATCGTCTTGGCTGATCCGAACCATTGCGTAAACGAAGCTTGGCAGACTCAGAAACTGACGCTGCTTTATTCCCTCTCACCCAGAGTCTGCCAGCTTTGCAGCCCACCGATGATGTCGCTGCAGGCCAAAGGCTTGGCCCAGGGAGACTGAGACAGACAGGACCTCTCTGCTCCCCAGACTACGATTGAGCGGTCTCATGCAGGTCTGACAATCAAGCAGGCACTGTCTTGTCACGGAGGAAACGAAATAAGTTCCGCACAACACATTTACCTGATCCATGAGAGGGCCAAGCTTCCCACCAGCATGAAAGCAGATAGTAAAGGCTCGCCAGCTTGCCATATCTATGTGTATCATGGGCAGACATTTGATGGAGAAGCATAGCGATTTCTTACATACAGACAATCCAATCTCGCCCAAGCGCTCTCAGCCTCCCCTTATGGGAGCATTAGTCGTCGTCGCAGAGGTGAAGCAGTACCCCGTACGCTTGGCAGCATCATCAGCCCCAGCGCGCTGCCAAAGGGAGGCGAGGCAGCTGCTCAACTTGTCTCACGGTAATTAGGACGACCTGCGAGTGCAGCATCATGCTGGAACAGGATTAAAAACTGTCTGAACACCTTTCTTCTTGGCAATGGTGAGCTTGTGTATATATGAACAGGAGCCTTCCCTTTCTTTGTCTGTGCAGCTCATAGCCCCTGAGCACAGAAAGCCAGCACAGAAACTCCAAACACCATCACTGCCTATCTAACAGAAACATGCATTGCACCAAGACCTTCATCGCGGCCGCGGCCATGTTGTTCTCCGTGGCGTGTGCCGACACCATCACCATCACCGCCAAGGCAGACAACACCTTTGAGCCCAACAACGTCCAGGCCGACAAGGGGGACATGGTCGAGTTCCGCTTCGCGCGGGGCAACCACAGCGTCGTGACCGGCCTGTACGACTTTCCCTGCGCTCCTCTCGACATGGGCTCGGGCTTCTTCTCTGGCTTCATGGACACGATGGACGATCAAGCAGTGAGCCCTCAAACCCCAACTATACAAGAGCACTCACTGACTAAAAACCCTCACAGGACAAGCTCTTCCGCGTGAAGATCAACAACACAGAGCCCATTGCCTTTTACTCGTCCGTCGACGGCCAATGTGCTGGCGGCATGGTGGGCATGATCAATGCCGATAGCAACCACACGCTGGATGATTACCGCAGCAGGGCCAAGGCCGTCGCCAGCAGCATCTCACCGAGAAATGGCCCGTACGGCGGCGAGGTGGACGATGTGAAGGACAGCGGTGACAGTGGCGATGATAGCAACGAGAACATGGACGATGAGGAGAACGACAACAGCAATGGCAACGACAACAGTGATGGCAAAGGCAACGGCAACGGCAACGCGGCTGGTGCGCTGGGTGTCCCGGCAGCGAGCGCGGTCATGGCGTCCCTGGGATTCGCGGCTCTGCTGCTTTGATGATGTGTCGAGGTGGTGATTCAGTGCGCTCGCGAGCGTGATACCCATTTGTTTCTTCCGGCGCCGGGAGCTCATCTTGCAACTATTTTTTGGTGTAGTTAGTTATGTATTGAAAGCACCTGACTATGCTGTATCATCGGTGCTTGCCTTATTCACTGATGTCTCCTGAGATTGAATTATAATGTAGACGATATCTGTTGAGTATGTTCGGTTGACAGTATTTAGCGACATCTATACCACAGTCAATTTTTCAGGAACTATTTGCTTTTGAGATGATTCAATAATGCCTTTGATATTGTCGGTTTTTATTAAATATTCTCCAATGGGATTATTTAGTTCTATTTATATTCAACATCTATCGTGGGAGCGCCCGGGTACGGTGGGATATTAGATCACAAGGTGCCAACGGTATCAACCCCCGCAGTGCAACGACACCACACCGGTGGCCCCTCCCATACTTTATAACCTACACACTTTTTAATATACCGCCACGAACGAATATCGAAAATTATTAGGCCTTAATTTTAGATGCACGCAATAAGGGCCTCTCAGCGACTTAGATTCTTGAATTTCTGAATGATACGATCGTTAGTAACGGTGGGAATCCTATATTAAAAATCACGCTTAAAAGAGCGCTAGCATTATAGACTACCCCTCGTCTAATAGCCCGCTAGACCCTAACTATCTTAGAAGACTATATTTACGGCTAGTATTTCTTAAATACCCTAATTAATAATATTCTCGAAGATACTAATTTACGGCTATAAGAAGCTAGTGATCCTATTATTAATAGACAGACCTTACTACGCTAGCTAAAGGCGTGGGGCTTAGATATAAGATACTAGGCGCTAGATATCCCGGACGCCCTAATCGATCGGATTAAATACCTCTTCTTTAACTTCGGGCTATCCGATATATCGATTCTACGGGAGCTTTATTAAGGAGGCTTCCACGCTTACCTCTCGGCTGTAAAGAAGGTCCGCTAGTAGCACGGTATGAAACGCCGGGTTAGGACCGTTAAAGAATAACAAGAGAGGCTCGATAACGCCGTCGAATTCCTCTACTAAGACCTCTAGAGGAGCGGCGCGGCCTTAAGCTTTAGCAAGGGCTTGCTATACTAATATATTCGTTAGAAGGGGCAAATTATAGTCTCATAGCGCCATCTATACGATATTTATCGGGCTGCTTTTCTAGAGGAAGTCGCTAGCCGTTGTGATAGTAACTTTAAGTAAAGAGGCGACTTTCGCGTGCCCGGACCGAACTTCTTATAGTCCCTCGATAGCTATAAAAAGCTTAGGAAGGTCGGCTTCTAGATTTACGGTTATATCGACGCCTATTCCCGCTATATTATATAGTTTTACGTGGGCCGATTAGTAATAATATCTCTTAGCACGTTAAAATAATATCTTAAGGCCGTCCGGCGCCTATAAAAGCGGCCCTTTTTCACGAGATTTAACCACGGCATAGAGACGCTGCTATAGGTAGCGGCGTAAGCGTCACTCGCTAAAGCTAGCCCTAAGAAAGTTAAATATACCGATAAAGATAGAAATATTCATTATTATGCCTAAGGCGATCGGCTAGATAGCTATTATTTATATAGCCTAAGCATAAGGAACGTGAGGATCGAGTCTTAGTAGCGGTAGCTACGGCGTAGCGTTATAGACCGCTAGATTATCTTCTTTAACGAATTAATCGGCTATAGCCTCTTCCGCGAAGATAGCCTCGTCGATTAAGTAGCCGTCTACGCTATCTACGGCGAGATAATCCGCGATAAACTTACTAACTTTGTTTATCTATGGAATAGGCATATTATCCGTAACTAGAAGAACCGACTTAATGTTAGATCTAGCATACTAAGGGATTTATATTATATAACCGCTAACCCGGACTAGGGCGTTCCTTTCGATAATAACGACGATAGCCTATAGCAGCAGCTTCTTCGCGAAATATAGGAGCCTCTCGAGACGATAGATATCGATAGTCTGCTGCCCGCCGAGATAGAGGCTTAGTGCAAGGCATAGCTCCAAGGGCTTAGCTTCGAGACTAACCTAGTAGAAGAGGATAACCTCAAAAGGCCGTTTATTAGCTTTTATTTAAAGCTTCGCGAGATTATCGAAAAGCACTAAAATTCCGGCGTGCAGCCTATCTTAGCTATCTCACAAGTTCATACTAGTAGCGCTGCCGAATACTAACGTCTATTATAGTAGAATTACCTCGACGATCCAGGCCTCTATAGTAACGCGATACCGCCCGAATTTCAGGCATAAATAAGCTAGGCTATCGAGGAAGGGGATAATATAGAATAGATCGCGAAAAGCTTCATTTTACCGCTATATAGGGTAGTGTTTAAAGCCTTACGCGACGGGCCTATATATATATATAAGATCCTTATACTACTAGACCCACCGTAATTTCCCCCCTATAACACTATATAACATCCGCGAATATAGCCCTTTCCTGCGTTCTTTCCTTACTAACCGGCGGTATTATATTAAACGGTAGGTCTAATTAATCTCTCACTTTCGGCTATGTGTTTTAATATCTATTTTAGTGGTAGAAATACCCGAGCTACCGCTATCGATTCCTACGGTCTACGACATACACCTATAACGCGAAAAACACGATAGAATACGCGCTACCTCTGTCGGGCTACTCTACCCCTTCTATAGCCGGCGATAGCCTAAGCTAGTCGAGATCGACGCCCTAGATACGTTTAGCGACCCTCTAACGCCTATAACTATATATAGATCGCCGTTAATTAGCGGCTACGCGTCGTCGGAAGGTCGTGGTATCGCTAAATAAGCGCTACCCCGATTATCCTCGTTATCTTTAACGCGTGGCGATCGCCTTAATAACCTACGTGGCTACATTATAACGTTCGGGTCTAGACTAGCTACCGGGTAGATAGAATAGAAGTCGGGTTTGAACTGAGTACACTAGGATATCGTTAACTTAAGCGGTCGGGTTATAGTCTATATGCGAGATAGTAGATCTTACGTAGATAATTATATTAATAGCTAAGGAGCTAGGTAGAGACTAACTATAGTGAAGCTAGGCTTCCTATATATTAAGTAAATGTTATATAGTCGACGATAGTCGACTATCGTCTACGAGCGCCTTTAGGGTATAGTCGACTATAGTCGCTAGTCGCCTATAGTCGTCTATTATACGTGGTATACGGGTGTTATATAATAGGTGGAAAAAGTAGGGGGCACGTAAGAGGCGCATGCGGTCGTATACCGGGTCGTAATATAATGTCTCCCCTTCCGAGATTCTGTCTTAGAATTAATCAAAACCCGTTGGTCGTCCTTTGTAAGTCGTGCTCGGTAACTTCTTCCTTTTATTATGCCTAACCGTGTATAGAAACGCCGTACTACCTATAAGGAAATTAACGATTCCTATCGCGCCGCGTTAATCGAGGCCGTTCATTTTAACGGAGACGATAGCAAGATGCCCTGCACCCGTTGCTACCGTACGAAGCGCGTTTATCGTATAAGCGACGATTCTCGTCGTTATATCGCGTGCATTAGTGCGCGGAAGGTCTGTAATAGCAATAGTGTGGCGTTGTATTATGTGTTCTTGCTTCGTTTGCGTAGTATATACGTGCTAACCGTGCGTAGTAATACGTGTTATCGGAGAATAAAAGAAAGTGGAGGCGGATTTAGAAAAGTCCGATAAGGAACTATAGGAGTTATTGGCTCGTCGGGCTTAGTTACAGCGCTAGCGCGACTCCTTGCGCAAGCGTACTTCTGAGCTCGTGGCGCGCGGTATAAGGGATCTCGATAAGGAGGATGGCATTCGTTCCTAGGAGGAGGCCATTCTTAAGGAGTAGTAAGTAGTTGGTCGTGCTTAAGAGTTAGGGGCCTTTGGGATTATCGATTGGTCCGTAATGCCCGATATGTTTCCCTTTGATGATACTGTCGCAATAGGGGGCGGTAGTTCTTGAGGTGCTTAGCGGGTTCCTATGTATTTTCGTTACTTACATAGCCTTTCTATTTAATAAGGTATTTAACTTCTCCGTCTATTATTCGCTTATTAATAATCCGTTCTAGTTCGTAAAGTTCTTCGAGAACTTCTAGTTCGTAGTTTGTTTTTGCGTTTTACGGTGCCTTTTCGAGTAGTGAAATATAAAAAACTAGGTGTATCTTTATACTTAAGGGTAATAAAAGTTTATAGTTAGTGTCTAAGATAATTTCGTTAATTTTGAATAGTCCGAGTTTTTTATAATCGAGCTTCGGTGAAGGTTGAGTTATTGTGAAATTTTTGCGTAGTAGGTAGACCATATCTCCTCTCTAAAAGATCGGTCCCTTCGATCTTTTCTTATTATAGTACTTCGATATTCGTGTGCGTACGAATTTAAGTTATTTTTTCATGTGTTCGTGTAGTAAGCGTAGTTAGTCTGCTTTAAGCATAGCTTTTTTAGCTAAGGGTCTATCTCTTAGTGTTTTGCTGCTAAACTCGGGTTCGTATCCGTAGTTCGCGTAGAACGGTGAGATTTGAGTTAATTCCGTAGGTGTATTATTATAGGCGAGTTAGGCGAGTGGTAACTTCGAGACCTAATTATCCTATTCGTAGTTAATATAGCACCGTAGGTACTATTCTAATATCTAATTTAACCTTTCTATTTGCCTATCCGTCTAAGGGTAGTAGGCGGTGCTGAGCTTGTGCTTTGTTCTGAGTTAAGCTATTAGGGCTTGCTAGAATTTCGAGGTGAATATCGTCCCTCGATCCGAAATAATTTCTTCCGGAAGGCCGTGGTTGGCCACGATGTGTTTGAGTACTATATATGCGAGTGTTTCTGCGTCTATTGCTTCTTAATATAGTAGGAAATATCCGAATTTGCTTATCCGGTCCGTGATAACGAATATACTATTATATTCGACGTTAGATCTTAGTTCCTTGGATTTAGGTAGCTTCGTAATATGATCGAAGGCTATTAATTCCTATGGTCTTAAAGGTACGGGTAGTGGCTTTAGTTCTCCGTATAGTTTATACCGCGTAGCCTTGCTACGTGCGTAATCTTTATATTGTCCGACGACGCGTGCGATATCTGCCTTGATTCCTTAGTAGTTATACGTTCGTCGTATTCGTTTAAGAGTCTTTCTAACTCCTTAATGCCCTGCCGTAGGATATGTATAAATATTACTTAAGATTTCATCGCGTAGCGGCGGTAGTATCTAGAGCAGTCTATTCTTAGTGGGTCCTTTTCCTATTTCTATCGCGCAGTCGTTAGGTATTTCTTCTTTATATTTTAATACTTATTCTAGTATTTTGTCGTAGTATATAGTGTTTGCTTCTACTCTAAATATAAGGAGGTTGAGTGTTATTTATACG